GCCATAAAGCAAATACGGTGTGTGCAAAGTAGGTCCCGAATGCGTCTACTGTAAACAGGGAAGAACCTACGGCAGAACTTGCATTGAATCCAAACCATCCGAACCAGAGTAAACCGGTACCGATCAGTACATACGGTACGTTCGCTGGTGGAATTTCTTTCTTTTCGATATGAGATTTTCTTCTTTTCAGTACCAGGGCTCCTGCGAGGGCAGCACAGCCGGCAGAAATATGTACAACTGTTCCTCCTGCGAAATCCCATACACCCATTTTAGCTAAGAAGCCATCAGGATGCCAGGACCAATGCGCCAAGGGAGCATAAACTAATAAGCTGAATAATGCGATGAACAGGATGTAACCGGTGAAACGGATACGTTCTGCAACTGCTCCCACTACAAGTCCTGGAGTGATGATCGCAAACATCAATTGGAACAAAGAGAATAATGTTAATGGAATTGTTGGAGCACCGGGCCATGGAGCTCCAGACTTCACACCATCATAAAATAGAAAAGTCAGCGGATTTCCGATAAATCCATTGATGGACTCACCAAAAGCCAGGCTGAACCCACAAACGATCCAAAGTACACCAACCACACCGGCAGCTACCACGCTTTTGATCATTGTTGAGATGACATTTTTACGGTGCACCATACCACCATAAAAGAACGCAAGACCCGGAGTCATTAGAAACACAAGAGCTGAAGAAACAAGTACCCAGGCAATATCTGCGGCACTGTAAGCGGCATCTTCCGCCGGAACAAAATCAGCAGCGGGTTTGCTGAACATCGCAGCCACCGCCACTATACATAAAACAAGAAATGGAGCTACCTGCTTGAACGTGAGTTTTCTCATACTGAAGTTTTTAGTTGGTTTATATTCAAAAAAAGTATAATTCGATGTTCTATGTATTAAAAATACATAATTGACCAAATAAAACTATGCTGCACTATATATATTATTTTATATAATATTTGTAATACAGTTCAAACATGAGATAATTTTTGTAGATATCCTTTAATAAATGAATATTTTACTGATAAAAGACATAAAAAAAGCCTGATTTTTTAAAATCAGGCTAATATGAAATAAAAATATAGAAATTATCAAATCGCTAGATCGCCATCAAATTTTCATCTTTGGTTTCTAAAACTGAGTATCCCATAAGGAATTCATCAACTTTTCTTGCACATTCGCGGCCTTCACTAATGGCCCAAACCACCAAAGACTGCCCCCGGCGCATGTCACCCGCACTGAAAATCTTGTTGATATTGGTCTGGAAAGATTTTTCCGTGGCCCTTACGTTACCTCTTTCATCGAGTTCCACTGCAAGTTCATTTATTAACCCGTTATGTTGCGGATGAATGAATCCCATAGCCAGCAAGGCCAGCTCACAGGGAATTTTTCTTAGTGAACCAGGCACTTCTGTAAATGATGCCTTTCCATCGTTACCTATCTTCCACTCCAGTTCAACAGTTTTTAAAGCCTTAAGGTTTCCATTCTCATCCCCGATAAACTCTTTTGTAGCCACAGCCCATTGCCTGGCGGCACCTTCTTCATGTGAACTGGTAACTTTTAATACCATAGGGTAAGTTGGCCACGGCATTGAATCGGTTCTTGTTTCAGATGGTTTAGGAAGCAACTCAAACTGGGTAACTGATTTTGCCTCCTGGCGGTTAGATGTACCCACACAATCAGATCCCGTATCACCACCACCAATAACTACTACGTTTTTTCCTGTAGCTAAAATGGCTTCGAGCTTATCATCATACAAACCGCTTACACGTTTATTCTGCTGCTTCAAAAAATCCATTGCGAAATGCACGCCCTTTAATTGCCTTCCAGGTACGGGCAGATCGCGTGGAATAGTTGAACCCCCAGTCAATATAATAGCATTGAACTGGCGAAGCAGGTCGCTTACACTAACATCCTTTCCAACTTCTGTATTATTAATAAATACAACACCTTCTTCTTCCATTAATGCTATACGCCTGTCGATAACCCATTTTTCCAATTTGAAATCAGGAATACCGTAACGCAATAAACCACCTGGTGCATCATCTCTTTCATAAACGGTTACTGAATGTCCCGCTGCATTTAATTGTGCAGCAGCGGCCATACCTGCCGGACCAGAACCTACAATGGCTACTTTTTTTTTTCCTGTACGCAAGTTTGGCTTATGAGCTTTTACAAAACCCTTTTCAAATGCGATCTCGATAATATGTTTTTCGATCTCTTCAATCGCAACGGGAGGCTGGTTAATTCCGAGCACGCATGCGCTCTCGCATGGCGCAGGACATATACGCCCCGTGAACTCAGGAAAATTATTGGTAGATGATAAAATATCATACGCTTCTTTCCAGCTTTGCCTGTAGACAGCATCATTAAATTCAGGAATAATATTTCCTAAAGGGCATCCACTATGACAAAAAGGAACGCCGCAATTCATACACCTCGCACTCTGCTGGTTTAATTTCTGCGTAGGATATTTTTCAATAAACTCCCTGTAATCATTTATTCTTTCCTGCACTGGACGTTTCGAGGGCATCTCCCTTGAAAACTCCATAAATCCGGTTGGCTTACCCATTTTCTATTATTTTATTTAGCGAACCTGCCAATCCCCTCCTTCGGAGGGGTGGACGCGCGAATGCGCGGCCGGGGTGGGTTACTATTTAACTGTTACTTTTTGTTTATTAGCCTGTAATACTTTCTTGTAATCTTTAGGGAATACTTTAATAAAGTTCTTTACCTGGTTCTCTAAATCATCTAATACAAATTTTGCAACGGTGCTTTTTGTAAACTCATACTGATCGGAAACCATTTTCTGTAATACTATAACATCTTCTGCATCAAGTGCATCAAGATCAACCATCTCTTTATTACATAATGATTCGAACTGGCCATTTACATCATACACATAAGCAATTCCACCACTCATACCAGCCGCAAAATTCCTTCCTGTCCCTCCTAATATTACAGCTAACCCACCGGTCATATATTCACAGCCGTGATCTCCTACCCCTTCTACTACAACCTTAGCTCCTGAATTTCTTACACAGAAACGTTCACCAGCTTTTCCTCTTACATAAGCCTCTCCTGAAGTGGCACCGTAGAAAGATGTATTACCGATGATAATATTCTCTTCGGGAACGAACAATGATTGCCTGGGAGGATAGGCAATTAATTTCGCACCACTTAATCCTTTACCGAAATAATCATTTGCATCACCCTCTAGCTCAAGTGTAATTCCTTTTGCATTGAATGCACCAAAGCTTTGTCCGGCAGTTCCGTTGAAATTAAAATGTAAAGTATCCTCAGGTAATCCTGCTGCTTTATATTTCTTACTTATTTCATTCGATAATAATGTACCTACTGTTCTGTCTGTGTTCCTGATATCGAATGACGCTTTTACTTTCTGCAGATTTTCCAGTGCTGGTTTTGCTGCCTCCAGTAATTTCCAGTCGAGAATTTCATTCATCTCGTGATCTTGCTTTTCTGTATTATACAATCCTGTATATAATGATGCAGGTTCTTTATATAATATCGGGGACAGATCGAGGTTTTTATATTTCCAGTGCTTTACATCATCGCGAACCTCGAGATAATCAGCCTGGCCCACCATTTCATTAATTGTTCTGAAACCCAACTGCGCCATGATCTCTCTTAATTCCTGTGTAATTAATTTGAAGAAATTAACTACATGATCCGGATCACCAGTAAATCTTTTTCTTAATTCGGGATCCTGTGTGGCCACACCAACGGGACAAGTATTCATGTGACACTTACGCATCATAATACATCCCTCAACAATTAATGCTGCTGTTGCAATTCCCCACTCCTCTGCACCTAATAATGTTGCAATGGCAATATCTTTTGCTGTTTTCATCTGGCCATCGGCCTGCAATACTACCCTGCTCCGTAATTTATTTCTTACGAGTGTCTGATGTGCCTCTGCCAAACCAAGTTCCCATGGTAATCCAGCGTGCCTGATAGAACTAATAGGTGATGCACCTGTTCCTCCATCATTACCGGCAATTAATATTACATCTGCCTTTGCCTTTGCAACACCCGCTGCAATTGTTCCCACACCAGCTTTCGATACCAGCTTAACATTAATTCGTGATGCACGGTTCGCATTTTTTAAGTCGAATATTAATTGCGCAAGATCTTCAATAGAATAAATATCATGATGCGGAGGAGGAGAAATCAATCCCACACCCGGAGTAGAGTGACGCGTTTTACCGATCCAGTCATCTACTTTATATCCCGGTAATTGCCCGCCTTCGCCGGGTTTTGCACCCTGGGCCATTTTAATTTGTAATTCATCGGCCTCAGTTAAATAATAACTGGTCACACCGAAACGTGCAGAAGCCACCTGCTTGATCGCACTGCGCATTGAATCACCGTTATGCATTAATTCATACTTGCGTTCGTCTTCTCCACCT